ATGTGAGATGAAGTCTCGCCATCCTTGCTTCTAAGGAACATTCTGAATGTGCTTCTTCCAAGACAGATTTGTTTGTTCTTCTGGCAGTTGTGGTATATTCAATATTCCTCGCCAACACCACAATTCGAAGGCATCATTCCTTCTTCAGTTTTCCTTATTCATTGTTCTCCTTTCACATGCATATGAGATAATTGAAAATATAAGTATTATTGAATTTATAAGTAAGTCATCAAAATATTTTCTTAAATGACAAAAACAGTATACAATGTACTTATGATATAGTAACATTTTTATTTATATATATATTTTTTCTAAAGGTATACATGAATAGTGGTTAGTGATAACGTCAAAAGAAGAGAGGTAGCTGATTGAAGAGTATATGGCAGGGACGTTTACTTTTCATTAAATATCTTGTTGTACCTCTTACATTTTTAATGTGTGCTTGTTTTACCTGTTTTAGTTAAACCAGTCAACCGACCAAATAAAGTATGTTGCTAGGCCTAGCGAAGGTAGAAAGTAGAGCACTCAAAGAGAAGACCAATATAGTCACGTCTTTGATTGTTGACAGAATTGACTCTGAATGAACAGTTATTTCCATAGCACAATCTTACATTTAATTTTAGCTGATACACATTTAGAGTATGTCTGGAAAAATCATTTGCTTTGGATAGGTCTCATAATGGTGAAATATTCATAACTTGTATTTTCATAACATAAAACCCAACCAGACGAAATCTAATTTTAGGAGACTCTAGGGAAAAAAAAAGAGGACGAAAAGGAAATGGGTGATCTTAAGATAAAGAGGAGAGAGAAGACTGAGTGTCAAGTGTTTATTCTTGGGGGATTGAATGCCCCCAACTAAAGACAGGAAGACGAAGATTTCAGCAAATGAAATAAAGAAGGAACTACACTGTACTGGGGGGAAACAAAGGAGAGTTATTCTGATTTCTTGATTTTAAATTAATCTGAGAATAGTTGGACAAGCATGCTGTTTTTTTTAAGTTCTAGTTTCATTCTGGAAGGAATATAGACTGAATCATAGAAAACTTCAATTAAATCTTGGACTATGCAAGTGTGAATATTTAAAATATGAATATTTAAAGTGTGAATATTTGTAATGATGTTATAGAATTCTCAGCCTTACTGAAATTTATCTTGTTGTGGTAGCATGATTGAGTCTCTGACATTTTCAGTGTAAAAGTGCATAAAATGTAAATTGTAAAGAAGATAATTAAAACCATAATAGGAACATATTTTCACTCGTTTGCTTATCTTTTCCTTCATTTCTTCCAGGGTCAACGGGAAATTGGTAGCCCTGAAGGTGATCAGGCTGCAAGAAGAGGAAGGTACACCTTTCACAGCTATCAGGGAAGGTAGGCATTTATTCTTATTATCTTTGTCTTTGTAGTTGTATGATGCCCATTGCTATTTAAATATTACACACCTGTGTATTTGCTGAGTTTAAAAAATAACACGGTTTTATCTCTCATTGGAATGTGTACACTGAAATTTTAAAAACAGTACCTCTTGTAATCATGTGATACCATGTTAAATAAAAAAAGACCACTGCTCTGTATCCTCAGATGTGAGGAAAAGTGCTGTGTATTGATGATAACAGTATCAGTAGGTAATCTAGGAATTTGTATGTCTGATTTTATTTGCATAGCTCCTAAGAAACATTGATCTAACATTATTCTGTATTCTTGACTTTTAAGGAAAGTCCT